ATAGGAGTCACTTCACTTGCTCCCAGGAAGCAGGCTTTGCCTCAACTTACCAGATGTTGCACAGAAGCCAGAAGTCAAGAAGAGCCATGTGTTTTTGTGCATATTGGCCTCTCTGTGTGTGTGTGTGTGTGTGTGTGTGTGTGTGTGTGTGAGAGAGTGTGTGTGTGAGAGAGAGAGAGAGAGAGAGAGAGAGAGAGAGACTGGAAATGTGGCACACTCTGTCCCCAAATCCAGTCAAATTAGTCATTTCTCCTTCCAAGAAAGATTAAGAGAAAAGCAAGGCAGTGGCCTGCCCTTCTCCACTGGAGCTTTTTTCAGATTCTCAGAGGGATTTGAGATAATAAGTGAATTTCCTCCAGTTTCGCATAGTGGTTAGATGCTGGACCTTTAAAACATGGGAAAGGCAGAGAATGATGGTTTCGATGACAGTGCCTCAGATCACAGGAAGAAGAGCCATGTTCTGGAGTTTAGACTCACCACCTGTGTATGTGCCCTGACATGTCCCCTCTAAAATGGTCATGGGGCACTAACTGACCCCTGACTCACCTTGGAGCTCTTGGAAGGCAAAGGGCAGGTGTCATTCATCTGTGATTCTGAGCCACAGACTTCCTGAGGTGGGAACAGCAGTGATAATATATAAATAGCATGGCAGAAAGAACACCTTTCTTGGAGCCAATACACTCAGGTTTGAATTTAGGCATAGGCATTTACAGGCTGTGTGACTTGGAGCATGTTTCCTTTGTGCCTGTGAAGTGGATGAAAGAAGAGATAAGTAATGTCTAGGGAATGAGCCTGGAGCCTCACACTCCCCCAGCTGTGCCCATTTCCCTCTCCCTGCTGCTCCTGAGGGGCCCCTGTGCTTTCTTCCTCCTCTTTAGGTATATGGGGACAGGCACAGGCAGGAACCCTGGGAAGGCAGGAATGGGGGTGGGGACTTTTGGAGCCTGCCCATTTCTAGAGAAGGGCTCTGGGGCTATGACACAGGTGCTAGCACACCTACCCTACGACTCCTGGGCATCCAGCAATAGTCTGGCCCATCCAGAGGGTTTTCTCCATAACTCTACCTAGTACTCTACCTAGTGGCTCAGCGTGTTCACCCCCATGCTGGTCCTATTTCATCCTGCGATCCCCACTGTTACCTCCCTTACACACACAGTCACCTGGGGAAGAGACACAGGAGCCACGTGAACTGGTATCTGCTTGTTCAATCTGATGGGCTAAAACCCAGAAGTTGGCCTCAAGGGCTTATTCTTTGACCTAATAGAAAGTAGCTGCCAGAGAAAGGTTGCCACAGGTGGGAGACAGGAGAAGGAAGTGGTTGAAGCAAAGGTCTGGGCAGCAGAAGAGGCTGAGGAAATGCTGACCAGCCAGAGGCTATTCACTGCTCCTGAGGCCAGTGGAAGAGCTTTGGATAGATGTTGTGTCTCCTTCAGTAACCACACCCTGCCCCTGCTGGGCTGGGCCGGGGACTACGGAAATGAATCAGATAGGCCGTCCAGCCCTGTATAGTTTTCACAGTGGCCCACAAAGGTAAATGTGAAGAGTGTCCCTGGTTTGTCCATAAAGAAACTGAACCTTGCTCAGTCTCCGTAGAGTAAGTGGGTAGAAATGAAGCTGAATCCCAGGATCAAGGCTCTTAACTCTATTTTATCATTTCTCAAAGGTTAGTAGGCAATGCTACCCTGGGACGCAGGTCAGGAACGATGAGAAGTAGAAGCTAGGTGGGGTGTATCATGTGGGGCAGGGGCAGGAAGGTCAGAGTTAAGGAATAGGAGCGTGAAGTCAAGAGCCAGCTAGTTGTGGCTTCAGAGGGATTGAGATGTGAGCTGGGGAGGGGCAGCCAGAAGTGAGGCTAGCTAGTTCTGTTTGGAAAGATCATGTGGCAGAGTGGAAGCTCATCCTATGTGTGCTGAATTCAACCATCACCTGTCATTTGGCACTTGCTGTACTGGGCTTGGGGGCATTTAGCAGTTACAGAAGAAGCCAGTCATTATGATAGTCCCAGTGGAAGGTGGTAAGACCCGGACCTGAGGTGGCAGCAGTGGCTTTGGGAGCAATGCATGGATCTGTGGGCTATGATGTAAGTAGTTGGCCAGAACAGCGTGGGTGGGGAGTAGAAGTGACTCTGAAGTGTACTTTCAGGTTTCTGGATTGGAAGATGGATAGACAGTAGAGTAGGGGGACACAGGAAGAGAAACAAATATAGGGACGTGAGGTGATACATGTCCAACAGGATTGGGTACAGAAGTTGTACCACAATAAAATTATGTAACAAATTTCTTAGAAAACATAATTCTATTGTCTTTGACATCTCATTTACACAGATGTACAGGCTATCATTTAACTGAACCTCTTTTGTTTTTTCTGCTATTTTTACTTTTAAACACTGTAGTAAGCAGACTTGTAGATTGGGGCAGGGGGTGGGGCAAGGTAGTTAAGTGATTGACTAGCCTGAGCAAAGCCCTGGGTTGCTTTTTAACCTTTTCTTATACCTTTTACCCATGTTATGAGATCTCATTGGGTTTTTTTTTTTTTTAATGATTTTTTAGTTTCTGTTTGTTGGGCAGGGGTATTATTGAGACAGATTCTCACTGTGTAGCCTAGGCCAGCCTTGAGCTTGCTATGTAGTATAGGCTTCCTTAACTTGTGGCTGTCCTTCTGCCTCAGCCTCCAGTTGCTCAGCTAACAAGTACATATCACCATGCCCAGCTATTTTTCATGAGTTTTTAAAACATGAATTTCTTATTATTTGCAAGAAACTTTTCTCCACATTTTTCCCTCTTAGGTTTGCTTATGCTGTTTTTTATGTACTAAAGTACTTAAGAATGTAAAGTCATCATTGGGACATAGCTGCATAGTAAAGCATTTACCTAGCGTGCAAGCTCTGGGATCTGCAATGCTGGGGGAAAAAGAGCTTGTAAAGTCAAAAATCTTTTTAAGGCTGATGAGACTCAGCAGGTAAAGGTGCTTGCAAATGGCATCTCTTTTTTTTTAACATTTATTTATATTTGTGTGTATACATGTGTGTGCATGCATGTGTGTGCCTATATACATGTGTAGAGGTCAGAGGATAACTTGCAGGAGCTGATTTCCTCCTTCTGCCACATGGGTTCTAGGGATCAAACTCAGGTGGTGAGGCTTGGTGGCATGTACCTTTAACCAGGAGCCATGTTTCCTGCCCATGGGTCTGTTATTGTGCCTGGTGATTATTTCCTCTTGGTCTGCTAAATTCCTTCCCACTCTTAAGTTTAGTTGGTTATTTCAGGTCTTCTAGGCAAATAAAACTTGCTACTTTGGAGGCCTTGGTGACATCTCCAGCACTGTCTGGAGGCATCTGTTACTTTCCTCCAGTCATACTAAAGAACCCTGTTGTAAGAGAAGAGCATTGCTCCTAAGGGGCAGAGTATTACTGGAGCTAAAAACAGAACAGTGAAGTGATTGACTTGGGTGCCTAGACCAAGAAGGACCAGGGGACCAGAGGCCTTTGTACAGCTGAACAAGAAGAAGGGAGAGGCTTCAAAGGAGAGCTGTGGCTCCGGGTCAGACACTGGGATGTTTCAGAGGCAATACCTTTCATGTTTGGGATCAAGCTCTCTGATGAACAAATGAATTTGTGCTACAGAGCTGAAGTCCCCCAGTGCTGGTCAGTGGCACAGAACCAGGATCTGAGTGTCATTCTGCTGTTCTCTGCCAGCTCATGTTCTGTCTTTATTTTCCAGGTCGACTTTAGCAGTTGACTGAGAGCCAGGAAAGACAAAAGAAGGGGAAGGAGGCGAGCTCAGCAGAGCAGATAGGCAAAAGAGGGCAGGCTCCTGGCGGGCCCTAACCACTGCAGTGGGGAGGTGGGACAGCTGGACCCTTGTGGCCCAAAGACACCCTGCCTCCTGCACTCAGGCGAGAACAGCACTCTTGACAGTGTGCCACACCCCATCTTCTGCCTTACAGCTCACTCTGTGTCCTCTGATTACACACTGTGATCCCACCACATGCTCACCGTTCCCCATTGCTTACTCATGTCTCACACATCTCATGACGTTCCACGTGCCAAAGCCTTCCTGTGCCAGCAGGTTTATACCATAGAACTCAGGTTGCCCTTCCCCACCATGTCCCCCTCATTGCTCATTTCCCTATGTACACTGGAGGTCCCTTCCACTCACCCAGGCCCATCATCACATGCCCAACTCTTGTTTTCTTATGCTGTGTCCACAGAGTGCATCTGATGGCTTCTGGAAGTCTGTGGCCACTCGAGTGCCCAAGGAGCCCCCTGAGATTCGCATCCTCAATCCATATTTCATCCAGGAAGCTGCCTTCACCCTCATTGGATTGCCCTTCAACAATGGCCTCATGGGCCGGGGGGTGAGACTCCTGGGCCCTTAGGAAAGGGAGGAGGAAGACCTGGCAGAGGCATCTGGGAAGGAAAGAAGGGTGGCAGTGCTCAGGGGAGGAGGCTCCATGGGGAAGAAGGCCCATCTTTGGAAATAAGCTGGACTAGTTCCCAAGCTCTCAGCCCCTCTTGCCCCCATGGAACGCTACATGTCCCCTCTCCTCTTCCAGAACATCCCGACCCTTGGCAGTGTGGCAGTGACCATGGCACTACACGGCTGTGATGAGGTGGCAGTTGCAGGCTTTGGCTACGACATGAACACACCCAATGCACCCCTGCACTACTATGAAACTGTGCGCATGGCAGCCATCAAAGAGGTTAGGGCTGGCATGGGGGCAGTCTCTGGGAGGAGGAGCTGAGAGGGGGCCTTCTAGAACAAAGGAAGGACCGGGGAAAAACAAGTGGATGGTAAGGGGGAGTTCCACGAAGGCCCTGTCTACCCTCAGTTAAGCAATCACTGTCCACCTATACATCCCGTTCCCTGGCTTCCCCCTGATCCCGTCACCCCTCTCCTCAGCCTTCTCCCAGAACACAACCTCTATGGCCCCTACCCTGACCCTGTACTTTACCAGCCTTGCTACATCCTGGCGGCCATGCTCTCCTCGTCACCAACTCAGATCGTCCTCCTGAGTCTCCTTGCCTCCCCTTGATAGACTCTTGCCCCTTACGCAACCCACAAGTAAACTCTCAGGAAGACGCCCATGTCCCCTCTATCCTTCCCTGAACCAAGCACCGGTCTCTATCAGCTAGCTTGCTCCTGAGCAATCCATCCATACTGGTAGTTTCCAGCTCTCCAGGTCTCTCTGCCTTACAGTGATGACCTGATAAAGAAACTGAATCCTCACACATCTGCTCCTGCCACAGCCTCTCACTCACTCTAGCATGAAGCCTGGAAATCTGGTGTCAGTCAGCACCTGGTGCCCCAAGCAGCACCTCTGCCTCTACACCTAGAAGCCGGAGGTGGTTGGGAAGATTGCTCACCTGTGCAGATACACATTTCTGTGAGTCCAGGTGTTCTGGTGGACACTAGACCCCACTGCTGCTCATTGGTCTCTACCTGCTCCTCTCTAGCCCTCACCACAATGTTCCTCAGCTGTACATGCCACAAGTTCCCAGACACCTGATGCCCCACCCATTTCACTCCTCAGCCCTCTTCATCCCTCCACCACATCCTCTGATCTGACTTGCCTCAAGGTTACCAGTGGTCTGCCTTGAGGATCTAGTGGACACATGTTATCTCTCTTATATTTCTTATTATTGTTTGTGTATGTGTGTGCATGATGTGAGTGTGGGTGCACATGTGTTACAGCATGTGTGTGGAGGTCAGAGGACAACCTTTGGATGCTGATTTAGTTCCAGGGATCAAACTCAGATTGTCAGGCTTGTGTGGCAGGTACTTTTATCCACTGAGCCATCTCACTCACCCACATGTCATCTTTAATTTCTCAGAAACCTTTTTTAGGTCCCAGTCTGGTCTACATAGCAAGTTCCATGCCAGCCAGGGATACACAATGAGGCCCTGTCTCACAAAAAAAAGGGGACGGTGACTTGATCACTCTTTCCTGCATAGGCTATCAAGTCAGTACTTTCTAGTGCTTCTCTCTCTCTCTCTCTCTCTCTCTCCCCCTCCCTCCCTCCCTCTCCCTCTCCCTCTCCCCCCCTTTCTCATTCCTTAGTTTTGATCTCTTAAGAATCAGCATTAGCTAAAACTCCATCCCAGACAATCTTCTCCCTCTGCTGTCCAAACTCACATCCCATCCACTGCTTCTGTTACCATTGATACTCCGTTAGAGGATTTTTTTTTTTTTTCCTATCATGGTCATTTCCAGCTGCTATAACAATACCATATGACTTGTAAAAACAGAAATTTATTTCTCGTAATCCTAGAGACTGGGAGTCCAAGATCAAAGTGAAGGCAGACCGGGTGTCTGATGAGGACCCCCTTCATTTATTTATTTGTTTGTTTGTGTGTAGGGGATACACATGTACCATAGTGTAAGTGTGGAGTTTAGAGGTGGGAATCTGTTCTCTCTCCACCATATGGATCCCAGGGATCTAACTGAGGCCATCAGTTCAGCAGCAAGCACCTTTACCAGCTGAACCATCTCATTGGCCCCAGGACCCACTTCTTAGCTCCCACATGGCCCGGTTTGTACTGTTTATATCTGGGATGTGGGAGCCCTCCCTAGTCTCATAGGACACTGATCATGTAAGAAGAGGCCAGTGGAGGTAGCACTTAGGCAATGACTGCTGAACATAGTGAGAACAACTCTAAAAGTATGGTGAAGCAGGAGCCCAGGGCAGCAGTGACTAGTAAGCAGAGGCCTAGAGACTGCATGTGCCAAGTGTTCCTTCAGGGTGCTCCCTCAGGGTCCAAAAGAGAAAGGCTAAGCAGCAGCTGGAGGGTGAAGGGGCTCATACAGGAGTGTCCCACAGCAGAGAAACCCAGGCTGGAAATAGTCTGTGCTTGCCCAGATATAGGGAGCACACAGCTGAGACCTCCCAGAGAAAGGGAAGGAATACGAATCGGGCGTGGGGGCTGAAGAGATGGCTCAGCAGTTAAGAACACTGGTTGTTCTTGCAGAAGACCCAGGTTCGAATCCCAGCACCCACATGGCAGCTAACAACTGTCCATAACTCCAATCCCAGGGGATCCAACAGCTCTTCTGACCCACGCAGGCATTGCACGACACGGATGCACTTACCTACATGCAGGTGATACATGCATCCACATAAAATAAAAATAATAAATAAGCCGGGCGTGGTGGCTCACACCTTTAATCCCAGCAGAGGCAGGCGGATCTCTGTGAGTTCAAGGCCAACCTGGTCTACATAGTGAGTTCCAGGACATCTGGGGCTACAGGGAGACCCTGTCTGAAAAAGACCAAAAAAAAGCATGCTTTGGCCATTTTGTTGTCTGGATGGACTCAGGTATAAAAGTTTGTGTGGACCTTTCGTGCCAGTGGTTAAGTTAGGAAAAGAAAGATCCCGCCTGTTGTCAGATTCAATCTTCTCTAAAAGCTCCATGAAGGAATGAAAAAAAAAAAAAAAGAAAGAAAGAAAGAAAGAAAGAAAGAGAGAGAGAGAGAGAGAGAGAGAGAGAGAGAGGAGGGAGGGAGGGAGGAAGGAAAGAAAAAGAGAAGAGAAAGTAATTGTCCAGTGTATTCATAAGCACAGACTAGCAGAGTGCACCAAGCTTCCCGGTTCCTGTTATGAACACAGCCAGCACCGCTCATCTGTCCTTCCTCCCATGCTTCCTACCCCAGGGAGTCCAGGGAAAGGGTTTCAGATACAGCATTCTGGTCATAAATACTTGATTCAGTAACTCTAAAAGATAAGAACTATTTTGATACCACACCTTACAAAGTTAATAATTTCTTAGTATCACAGAATTTTCAATCCTCCGTTGACCTATTAACCCTCAGTGACTCCTAGTGGGTGCTTTTGAAACTGATTGGTCCACTGGGTACTTCTGGAGGGAGGAGGAGAAAGAGGATAAAACCATAGTTTTTTTATTATATTTGCATGCAATCTGATTTCACCATTCCCATTCTTCTGAACCTCTTTCTTTTTGGTATTTTTGCCTCTAAAATGCAATGTCTTTCTGAAGAGATGGCTCAGCTGGACAAGCATGAGGACCTCAGTGCTAATCCCAACAACTTATGGAAACATTCAGGCATGGTTGCGCAAATGTCTGTAGCCCTAGAGCTGAGGACAGGAGTGAGTAAAGACGGGCAAGCTGCTGAGGTTTGCTTATCACCCTAGCTCCAGGCTCTGAGAGACTCGGGGGAATGAGGCAGAAAGTGACAGAGCAGGACACCAGTGTCCTTTGCCCTCTGCACATGCACAGGTACACAACCCCCCCACACACACACGTGTACATATACCACACACACCAAAAAATAGATAATTTCATTGAACAAATATCTAGTTGATTTTCTACTCTGTATTTAACCATCCCTGCCCTTAGGGATAGCTGGGAAGACGCTTGAATCTTCAGAGAATGGGCATGAATCACCCAGGAGTCTGTGATGAGGAGGGCAATTGCAGAAGCAATGGCAGAATGTAGTGAAGGAGCTGGGAAGGGGCCCTGGGTTTTCTAGGTGTTTGAAGGACAAATGGTGGAAGCTGGAGGAAGAGTGAGGGAGACTTGCCCACCTCAGGCACTGTGGTGTGAGCTGTGAGGGAAGAAACCATTACCACCTGGGGTGAGGGAGGCCATCCTTCAGGGCCACTGGGTTTGTAGTTGACACAAGAGGTTTCATGGAAGTTCAGAACACAGGAATGTTAGGGAATCTTGCTGATGACTGCCTGAGTTTTAAATTGCAGACATTTGGAAGGTTGGAGACAGCTGCAGGAATCTGAATAAGGGCTAGATAGCCTCAAGTTCTTAGCACCAGTAAATAGAGGCTGAGAATCCAGGCATGGTGTGGTCCAGTGCTGACACACCAGAGGCCAGCAGGGTGCAAGCCATGGGGCTGTTGAAACTCATCCCTTCATTCATTCATTCAATCAGAGCTTCCTGGTGAGATTACTGGGGATCAGAAAGAACCATCTCCTATAAGCCCTAGAAGATAGCATCTTCTCCAACTTCCTAAGGATACAATTTTTAAATATATGGTACTTTTTGTTTTTTGGAGACGGGGAGAAATTGAGTAGTGATGGTAATGGAAAATGCTTTTGGGTCTTGATAGCCAGACTGGTAGAATGGTCCGTCCTTCCTTCCTTCCTTCCTTCCTTCCTTCCTTCCTTCCTTCTTCCCTCCCTCCCTCCTTCCTTCTGTCTGTCCTTCCCTCCCT